GACTGGAGCACAGAACGAAGCACATCGCTCTGCGTTACTTCCTGGCTCGAGAGTTGCAGCAGCGAGGTCAGCTTCGTCTTCGTCACGTGGCCACTCGAGCCAACACTGCTGATATATTCACCAAGGCACTTCCGTCTGGTGATCATCAGCGCTTTTGTACCCTGTTAGGCCTTGTGCCTACGTTTCCACACTTGCTGTAGTCTTTGCTTGTACTGTGATCTATATATATATATATACCTGCATGCTTGCTCTTGCTAGGTAGTGATCACTGCTCTATTGTTGTTGCATATATATATATACCTGTTCATGTGAACTGGCCTTGTGGCCTTTTGCTTGTGCTCAGAGAGTGTGGTGACGTTGTGATCCACCCTGAGCTTGCTTTGCTTCTCTTGACTGGTCGTGTGACCCCTTGTTCTCCCCCACTTTGCCTATGGGGGTGTGTCAAACATATATGCTGCTTATTGTGTAGGCTGTAGTGGGGTAGCCCATATGGGGTACAACCCAAATTAGGGTTTCCTACTTGTACCCATCTTCTTGCTAGTTCATTCATTCCTGCTGCTAGATTCTAACATATGCGTCAGCCCGGTTAAGTCTATTTCGCCGCCCCAAACCACTCCCAAGTCGCCCCCGCACCAAGCGCAAACCTTCCAAGCCATCTTCGCCCTACGTCCACGCCTAGTTGGGATTTCCTATTTAATCCCGTCACTTTTATTATATCGTCATGTTGTAATTTCACATCCTAGTTACTGGTATTCGTTATGGGAAAAGATCAAACTGGGGCCGAACATTAGCAGGAAAGTGACCAAATTAGGGCCGGGTTAATCTCAACCGTTGGATATAACCTCGGGACTACCCAGGTGGTTGGGCCGAGGTTCCGAACCAAGCTTAAAAGGAATTTACTAAATTGCGAGTTTATTGGTTCAATGTTTCTGTTTAGATTAAAATCGAAATATAAAATAATGAACCCCGTCCCATCTTGAAAGGGTCCTGCCGAAAACGGGCCGATAGAGCACTGTTCAAACAAAACGAGTAGCATTGTGAACAAATGTGATTGGCTGTCGCCATTCTTGATTCCCCATGTTCCCGCCATTTTTTTTTTTCCTTGCGGATCTCCTCCGTCGCATGCTTCGTGCTACACCTGCACGACTCTTGCCAAGCGATGGTTTAGATCGCCAGCCCAACGTTGGTTCTCAAGGTGGAACTGGGTTACATGACTATCTGCTCTCCATCCTGAAGTCACTAGTTTTATTCATAGCCTATTTTAGCTGACAGCGATAGGTGTTTGTGGCCAAGATAAGTAAGTACTCGACCCTGCAGGAATGTGTAAGACTGTTACGTAGCGTAGTTTCGTAATTTTAATCCCTTCCGCAGGCGATCGTTACCCTTCCGCAGGTGCTAGTTTCATGTATCGCGCCTTCGCCATCTCCCTACCCTCCAGTCGTTCGTCCGCTGTCCGCTCCCCTCCCATCACCTTCGCGGGTCCTCTCCTCCCCCTTGTTGCCCTCTCTTTATCCCCTCGCTCATGCTGTCGTCGCCGAAATGCCCCCTTCCATCGCCTTTCATCTCTCCCCTCCCATCACACACCGTCGCCTATGCTCTTGGTCCGAACCGCCCTCCCCCCGCCCTTCCTCCCTCCTCGTCACTTTTCCCGTCACCTTCGCGCTCGCCCTCCCGTCGCCTTTCTGCGCGCTTTCCCTCCCGTCACCTTCGTGCTCTTTCACAAACGTCGCATGCGCGCTTTCCCTCGCGCCGCCTTAGCGCTCGCCCTCCCGTCACCTTCGCGCTCGCCCTCCCGTCGCCTTGCGCTTTCCCTCCCGCCGCCTTAGCGCTATCCCTCCCGTCGCCTTAGCGCTCTCCCTCCCGTCGCCTTTGCGCTTTCCTTCCCTGCGCGCTTTCCCTCCCTTCGCCTGCGCTTTCCCTCCTGTCGCCTTAGCGCTCGCCCTCCCATCACCTGCGCGCTCTCCCTCCCGACGCCTTCGCGCTTCCTCCCCTCGCCTTAGCTCTCTCCCTCCCCTAGCCTTCATCTCCTATCGCTCACGTTCCTCCTCTCCCCTCCCATCCCGTCGATCGCTCTCCTCTCCCCTCCCATCCCGTCGATCGCTCTCCTCTCCCCTCCCATCCCGTCGATCGCTCTCCTCTCCCCTCCCATCCCGTCGATCGCTCTCCTCTCCCCTCCCATCCCGTCATTCGCTCTCCTCTCCCCTCCTAACCCGTCGTTCGCCTCCTCTCCCCTCCCATCCCGTCGATCGCTCTCCTCTCCCCTCCCAACCCGTTGTTCCTCTCTCTCCCCATCGCAATCGTTCTATCCGTTGGTGATACCTTGTTAAACTTGTTTGTTTCCCTCGTTCTTCGGCTCCCTATTGTCTAACCTCTTTCAGACTCAAGTCCGACTTGGAGTCCAAGCAAACGCCTTTTCTCGCAGCTTTGCCAGGTCGTCGGCCCACCTGTACTCTTATGTTCTAGATATGTGTGTGCTCTGGATTTTAGCCTGTGTTGTTGTTTGATCGCAGTTTTGGTGAAGTTACAACGACTGCTCTCCCGAATACAGGCATTGCATCATTGCGCCAAATTCGCACAAAGTGTGTGTGAGTTGAGTGTGAGGTTTCGCTACCAATCAGAATTGCACATTTGTTCCAACTGTTCCCCTTTCACAACGAGACTCGTATGGAGTGAAAAAATAGAAATGCACAGCACTTCCTACTTTCCGAAGCGTTCCAAAAAAACTTTTGTTTTCAAGTGGACCCAACTAGAAGGGGGGGGGGTCATTATTTTAGCTGCTGGCTTTACGATCGCCGCCTATTACGAAGCTCGCGCCGTATTCCTCTGGGGGTGGTTTTGTCTTGTTTATATTGTTTAGAACAGAAGTACATGATTGTTCTCCGCAACAAAACCATCATTTTTGCTGACAAAAAAAAAAAAAAAGCTAAAGCCCAATCGGAAATGGATGCGAATCGGGGAGGCAGCAACCCTAAATTCCAGGCGGGTTCCCGTATTTAGGGTTGATCCCTTTCGAAAATGCGTCCAGGTTCCCTAGGGGTTATAGTTTCTCTACTCTGCCCTAACAATTCCCGGTAGCGTCGTCTAGTGCTTGGTAGCGCAAACGAGTTATATCGACATAAAACGTGAAGTTTATTGTCCATCAGTTACGACGCGCAGGATGGTTAGAACCTATGACAAGTGAAATCACTTACGCGAGTTTGGAAATATCGGTTACGGTGCCATAGATATCAGAATTTTTACGCTGATTCAGAGTTCGTTCAGACTTTTTTTTTGGTACCTAGGCTGAACTCAAAGTTTTTTTATATGTATCTTGTCTGATTTTCCAGCCTTCTTTTTTGTACCTTGGCTGTTTTTTCAGACAACTTTGGTGAGTGTACGCTGATCCTGTAGCTCTACTAACGGGACCCTTGCTAAATCCCTGAAATGTGCTGCTTCAGCCTATCGCCCCACCCACCCCCCCGGCTCACCCGAATCTCTCGCGCCGCCCCCCAGCCACAATTTCTCGCCCCTACTGGTCAGACATTTCCCCTACCAAGCCCTGCCCACCTCGTTTCTTCCCCCAGGCCGCGTCTCCCAACTTACCAGCTTCTCCCGCCCCTCCCCTCCCCTCGAAACACCTGTGACCTGCCTCTCCCGCCCCTCCCCGCAGCTCACCTGCCCCTATAGCACCAATCTGCTTCTCTCGCCACACTTTACTTCTCTCGTGCCCCTGTTTACCAGATCTCGCTACACCTTGCAAGATGAACTATATTGTGTACTTCACCTTAACAAGAAAAAATCAGAAAGAAAAATCAGCCTTTCTTTTTGCACCAACACTGAATTTTCAGAGTTTCTTTGCTAGGTAACGCTGATCAGCAGACTTCTTTTATGGACCAACGCTGATGGATCAGCCTGGTCCAAAACGAATCTAGGGCCCTGATCGGTTATTAGCTCCAAAACTCCAGGTTCGGCTATCCGGCCCTAATTTGGACACTTCCCTGCTAATGTACGGCCCCAATATGGGCCCTGTTTGGCAGGCGCATGAGCAACTAGGCTCGGGAATGAGCACTGGTTCGGGAGTGGTGTAACGTACCAAATTGTTAAGTCTGGGTTTCGTGTACAGTGACTTCATGCGGGGAACAGTCGCAGGCTCAGTGAAGGAAATTTGTCTGGGCTGCCCTGCTCGCTGGTCAGGTATAGAAAATTACAATAACCAGTATTGAACCATCTTCCCTGACTGCCTACCAATGAGCAACCTATACAATCTTCAATGCTGCCCCGCATCACTCATGCGCGCATGGATGCTACCTCTCCACGACGCACCATGCGCGCATGAGTGGTGCGTCGGTTTGCCAGGGGAGGATGGTTCCAGGAACCAATATCGATTCCCAAACCTGTGACAAAAAACACCGTTCGGCAGTCACTCAAAATCATTTTGCTTAGGTGCTCATGCGCCTAACCCGGGGCTTGATAGCCGATCAACCGCTTAGCTCGGAAGTACCCCGATTGGTCATGCAAGTGTAGCCCATTTCCAAGCCTGTGCTCATGCGCCTGCCAAACAGGGCCATGATCTTCTCCCATTCGTTATTCTGCGCACTCCGAATGAGATTCAATAATACGGTAACGTTGAACAGTGATTCACTTGTCCATTTTGACAAGCTGGGGGTAGGTAGGGTTCTTTGAATTCCCCTTTGCACTCTTGGCGTTACCACATAACTATGCACTGTCGCCATTCCGATTGTTGGGTTTGTTTTTGTGGTAGAAGTTCGCGAGCTTGGGTTCTTTCGCTGTATGGGAGTGCGAGGGGTGAAATATGGTTAGTTGGTTGTACCCGAGCTTAGGAAGCCACCCTACCTATGAGCGCAAGCGTAGAAGACTGCGAAAGCACCGCATCAAGCAGCTTTGACACGAGAAACCACAACAACCCCGTATCCTCCTCCGGAGTTGCCGTTCGTCCCCATTCCACCACTCCCAGCAGGCTGTTTCTGTTCCCGCGTTGGCGAAACACTCACCGCGCGACGATGAAGAGCGCGCGCCGTCGCGAGAGCTCTCGACTGCTGGCGCTACCCGACGAGCTTCTCCAGCCCATCCTCGCGCTCGTCGACCATCCGCGCGACCGCTGCAGCCTCGCGCTCTCCTGCTCGCTCCTCCGCCGCCTCTCCCGCCGCACGCCCCACTCGCTTCGCCTCCACCCGTTCGCCAAAAAACACGACGCCACTGCCCGAGAATGGCTGAAGAATCTCGAAGTTTATTCGGGGGTATTTACCCATATAATCGACCTCACGGTGGAGGTTAGTGCCGGCATCCTGGACCACCTTCTGGGCGGCATCGCCGCGGCGTGCGCGCGACTGGAGAGGCTGAGGCTCGTGTCGACGCGCGGCAGGTTTCAGATTAACCCTGCGACCTGGAAGAATTTCGTCACGCAATGCCCGTGAGTGAGTGAGTGAGTGGTTCTGGCTTCGAGCTGCGACGGCTTCTCGTATACTTGCGCTGCCCCTTTCGTTCATTATCTCATTTATTCTCTAGCAGGTGCGTATCTTGCAAGCACTGCGCTGCGCAAAGTTGTTTGTCTCTGCTCCCCCGTGTCTCTTTGCTTCCCGTCTTAGTAATTCCTATCACCTTTGTGAACACGGATTCGTCGTCCCCTCATTCGTCGATCCCTCATTCGCCGCTCTCTATTCGTCACTGTCGCTCTCTCATTTTGTCGCTCCCTCACTTGTCGTTCTCACATTCGTCGCTCCCTCATCTGCTGCTCCCTTATTCGTCGCTCCCTCATTCGCTGCTCTCTTTCTCGTCGCTCCTGAATTCGCGCCGTTTGTTGCATTACATGTGCACCGCCACATTTCTGTTCTCTTCGTCGCTCCCGTGTCATGACTCCGCCCCCACGCGCTTTGCCTCTCGCATCCCCACCTGTATTCCCTTCACCCCTTCCTCTCCTGTCTAAGCCTTGATTGAACCAATGCCTCCAGGGCATTCCACCACTTCTTGCCTCATGTCGGCGGCAATTACCTGACCCATGACGCCCCGCTATGCCACTGGGCCTAAATGCTGGTTGTTCAGTCAGAAACAGCGGTAGCCTTAAACCTTTGTGGAGGCCCGCAGACGACACATCACACAACCACATCCCCCTGCACCCCTCTTCCCCCTGCACCCCTCTTCCCCCTGCACCCCTCTTCCCCCTGCACCCCTCTTCCCCCTGCACCCCTCTTCCCCCTGCACCCCTCTTCCCCCTGGCACCCCTCTTCCCCCTGGCACCTCCTCTCCTCCCCGCCCTCCCATCAGTCGCATGGCATCACTGGAGCTCGAGTGCAAATATGCCTGCAACGACCCTCTGCCTCCCCCAGTGCACACCTTCCCCGCACTGCGCTCTCTCTCCCTCCTCTTCGTGCCCACGCACTACCGCTTCATCGCCCTCTGCTCCTCGCTCACCTCGCTCACCCTCTTGCGCCCCGACCCCTTCGCCCTCGTCACCCTCGCATCGCGCTCCTCCCCTCTGCGCCGCTCCCTCGCCGCCCTCACCATCCACAATGCCAAGCTCGAAGGCGCCCTCAGGCCCCTCGCGGCCTTCCCGCGCCTCACCTCGCTCGCCTTCCACTCCTGCGACATCGACCCCTGCGACCTGCACGTGCTCGCTCGCTCGCTGCACACGCTCACCCATCTGGCGGTCCACGACAGCCCCATGATTCCCAGCCACTCCCTCGCAGCACTCGCTGACCGCAACCCTGCGCTCGCCTCCCTCTCGCTGCACTCCACCTCCCACTTCCTCTTCATCCCACGTGGCCTCCGGGATCTGTTCCTCTCCTCCTCCTCCCGCCTGCACACCCTCGCTCTCTCCGGGCTGCCCTCGTACCGCCAGGGCACGCTGCAGCAGTCTGCAACGCCTGACGCTGAAAGGACGGGAGGCGGCGAGGGAGAGTATCATGCCGTCTGAGTCGCCACAGAAGCCGTCTCTGGACTACATTGTGGCCATGCTGGTGCGCGTGGAGCAGCGGGGGATCGCTGACGGACCAGAGGGAAGGAATGATGGAGTGGGGAGATGGGAAGGGGCGATGGCTGTGGACAACCAAGGCGGAGGAAGCACCGCTGCCTCCTCTGCAGCGGCATCAGAAGAAGAAGCAGGAGATGAGTCAGAGGCAGTGATAACCGCAGAAGCAGAAGCAGCAGAGGACGACGAGCTAGCGTCGCCTGCAGCAGCTGCCACGGCGGCGGTGGCCTCTGAGGGGGTGATGATGAGCAGCAGCAGCGGGCGTCGGTACGTGGACCTGCGCAGGGAAGCAGCAGCGGAGCGCGCTGACTTTGTGGCAGCAATGGACAAGTGGATGGCTTTTCATAAGATGTCCAAGTGGAAGCTGGAGGAGGCCGCCAGAGAGGCCGTGCAGCGCCGCCACCTGCACCAGGGGGTGGACGCCCTTCATTACATCCACCAGGCCGCCGTTCAGGTGCGCTCCGCCATCCTGCTCTGCCGCTGCGTGCGGCTGGCTAAGGCCGAGATGAAACGCAGGGGTGCACGTGAGGGGGCAGTTATAGACGCCTGTCGTGCTGCTGATTCTGCAGGCTTTTTCACTGCAGCTGCGGAGGAGGAGGAAGTGGAGGAGGAGGCGGAGAGAGAGGAGGAAGGGAGGGCAGGAGAAGCGATTGAAGCGGAGGAGGTGGTGCGATACATGCCCGAGGATGACCTGGAAGACGATCTGGCGGGCGTGAGTGAGAAGCTGCTGGCGTGGGTGGCGGTGCCGCAGGCAGACGCACGGGAGATGCTGCAGGCACTGATGGAGCTGCTGTTGATGGAGATGGAGGACATGGGCGCTCGCTTTGAGATCAATGACCTTGCTGCACCCCACCCCGCAGCACTGCCCGCACTGGCAGCAGTGCCCGCGCCGGCAGCAGTGCCTGCGCCGGCAGCAGTGCCTGGGGCAGCGGCAGGAGGGTTGGTCACTGCAGCAGCGGGAGCTGGGGCAGCTGCAGTGGTGCCTGGGTCAGCAGCACAAGGAGCAGCAGGAGGGGCAGCAGCAGAAGGGGCAGCAGCAGAAGGGGCAGCAGCAGAAGGGGCAGCAGCAGAAGGGGCAGCAGCTGAAAGGGCAGCAGAAGGGGCAGCAGCAGGTGGGGCAGCAGCAGAAGGGGCAGCAGCAGAAGGGACAGCGGCAGAAGGGACAGCAGCAGAAGGGACAGCGGCAGAAGGGACATCGGCAGAAGGGACAGCGGCAGAAGGGACAACGGCAGAAGGGACAACGGCACAGGAGCCGACAGGAGCAGAAGGAGAAGCAAGAGGGGCAGTGGGAGAGGACGCGAGAGCAGCAGAAGCATCAGAGCAGCTGCAAAGTGCCAAGCAGCCGGGCGGCAGAAGCTCAGCTCGCACACCCCCACAGGGGAGCGCAGTGCCCAACAAGAGCGCAAATTCAAGGGCGAGCACACCTGCAGCTGCTGTGGAAGTGGTCTGCCCTCCACTGGAGTCGCTAACTCTTGACAGCATTCGCTTCGCCTCCACGTGTGACCCATCCTGGCTGCGCTCCCCTCCCTCTGCCTCTCCCCTCATGTACCCCTCTCCCCCAACCACACCCTTCCCTTCAGTCCCTTCATCATCCTCCCCCCACTGTGCTGTCCCAATACTGAGCAGCGAGCCACAGTCCTTCGAGTCGCTGGCACGAGCTGCTGCCTTGAGAAGGCTCAAGAGCTTGGCTCTCTTGAACTGCTGTGGGCTGGAGGAGGGGCAGCTGGTGCAGCTGCTGCGTGCATGTGGCATGCTGGAGGATTTGCGCGTGGAAGGCTGTGATGGCTTTTCAGACACGGTGATTGAAGGAAGTAAACTGGTGATGTTAACTCGGTTGAGTGTGGTGGGGTGCGGTGGAATCACTGCAGACGCTATTGGCAGGTTGCTGGGGAACGTTCCAAGGCTGCAATATTTGAAGGTGGAAGGGAACAAGGTTTCTGAGAGGGCTCGCCGGGAGTTGCTTCGTGCTGGAGTGGTTGTTAGGGGAGTGTGACTCTGCTTGGTTAATATCGCTTCATGCTTACTTGTTTCTCAGGCATTCAAACATTGTCTCCTGTGTTTAAAAACAATGCATTCGCATCTGAAGGCGAGAAATTGTCGCTACCGATCTGACTTGAAATGGGTGGAGCGGGTTTGGGGGCGGTGAATTCTGGTTCTGTCGCTTTGCCACCCTACTTATACAGCAATGGCATAACTTCACATGGTAAACTAAACAATTTGAGGAAACTTGTGCACTTGTAGGTACATGTAACAAGATCCATATCAATTAAAAGGAAGAGGACTCGGGCAAGTAAAGAACCCTAAACTTCACTCAATAATTATCTATACAAAACTATCAGGATGACAAGTAAATTGCCATTGCTCCCACACCATCTATTATCACTAAATCGCCCATCTCAATCCCTCCGAACACCCACACCTCCATACGGATGCACACTTCCACATGGTAAGCCCAGCCCAACCATGCACCCTCCTCCTATTTGCAAACGCCCCTCCTCTCCCTCCCCCTGCTCCTCCATCACAAGACTACCTAGTCCCATTTGTTCCAATGTTAGCTGCTCCTCCCCACCCTCCCTGTCCTCCTCGTCCTCATCCTCCTCTTCCTCCTCATCCCATCCGTGACTGTGACCCATCATCACCCCATCCAACCCAGTCTCCTGCTCCGGATACCGAAACTCATTCCTCTCCTCCCCTTCCTCCCCATCCCCCACATCCTCCTCCCCATCCTCCTCCTCCTCGTCGTCCTCATCATCACTCTCCACCATCTCCCCCGAAATATCTTCCAAAGACCTCCCTTTCGTTTCGGGCAGCATGAACGTACACAGAAACCCCACGCCAGCACATGCCATGAGAATAAACATTGTATTCTGCACACCAATCCCCGGCGGATACCCCAGATTCGAAACAGTCCCTGCCGAAGCAGTCTCTTGTAAAGGGGCCTCCTGTGACGCGTACACAAACCCAAACGACCCCACGATCGCACCCAGCTTCCCAGCAGCAGAGCTGATTCCGTGGCACGTGGAGCGAAACCGGGCAGGAAAAAGTTCCGCGGGCAGGATAAAAGTCGTGCTATTCGGCCCGAAATTCGCAAAGAAGAAGGTCAGCGCGTAGAGACAAAGCAGCGCAATCGGGTTCCCCCCGCACGTCGTGTGGCTGGGGTCCTCAATGGGAGGATCAGGGCAGGGCGTGGTGGCGGTGGGTGTGCAGGGGAGCGTGCAAGGGTGATCCGCCATGTAGCTTGGGGTAGAATCCGGCAAAGAGGCCCATGAATATGGTCATGAAGAAGAAACCCTGTAGCTGTACAAACACCCGACCCAGCTTGTCCACTGTGAAGACTGTTACCCAGTACCCGGGGAGCGTGGCACACAGGGTCATGAGCGCCTAGGAGGAGAAGGGAGCAGAGAAACAGGGGGGAGAGGGTAGGGAACAATCTGGGATACTGTATGATTGGTGTGCTTTCTGGATGTGACTAGAGTTACTTTTTAAATCTCCTCCCCCTGACTGCTTTTGAGACGTCTCAAAAGACAATCTGGGATACTGTATGATTGGTGTGCTGTGCTTTCTGGATATGACTGATTTGAGTCGACTCAAAAGCATGATTGGTGTGCTTTCTGGATGTGAGTACAGTTACTTTCCAAAACTTCTCCCCCTGCCTGCCTCTCACCATGACCTTAGACAGCTCGTGCATCTCCCTTTGCGCGCTCATGCTGTCACACCAACAGCCCCTCTTTCCCTGCCTCGCCCCTTTCTCCCAACTCCCCAACCCCCCTGTTGCTCCATTGCAATGCCACTCACTGTGGCCTTGGAGAGCTCGTACTTCTCCTGCACAGCGTTCATGCTGTCACCTCAACAGCATGAACGCTCACCTTTGCCCCCTTTCCCCCCTTTCCCCCCTTTCCCCCGTTTCCCCCCTTTCCCCCGGCTCCCCCCACATGGCACTCACCGTAGCTTTAGAGAGCTCGTACATCTCAGTCAGCGCGTTCATGCTGTAGGGCGGCGCGACCCAGCCAATGGCGGTGAAGAGGTCCCGATTGAAGAGGTTCTGCGAGTAGTAGGCCGTGTCCACCAGGAACCAGCAGGCCGCCGTGGCCAGCAGGTGCACGCCGTGGTGCTGCAGGAACTCGCGCGACAGCAGGCTGTATGTTCGCACAGGGGCTGTTGCTAGCTCGATTTCCACATCTGCTTCCTCGAAGGCCGAGTGAAGCACCTGGAGGAGGAAGGAAGAGGGGAAGGAGGTAAGGGGGCGGCAGTGGGGTGGATGGCAGAAAAGGGAGTCTCGTTCAAAGTGTTGTGTGCCATTGTAACGAGGTGACTTTTGAGTCGACTCAAAGTCACCTCGTTACAATGACGAGGTTGGGATTGGTTGCGGCATGGGAGTAGGAGTGGGAGTAGGACAGCAATGAGACAGTGCAATACCTTCAGCAAAGGGAGGAAGGGCAATGGGAGCAATTGAAGAGCCTCATGCACACAGCATTACGCACCCGTCAAAGCGTTTTTGGGACGTCTCAAGATTCCACCCAACTGCACCCCACCCAACCGCACCACCCAACCCCTCCACACAACCCCACCTACCCACCTGCCCCATGTCCCGTGCAGCCTGCTTGGCATTCCGCTGCACGAGCGCGGTAAACCTCAGGGTCCCCGGCATGGTCATGCGGAAGAAGAAGGTCAGCGCTGCCAGCACCGCCCCCGCTGCCGGTACCACACCCGCTGCCGGCACCACAGCCGCTGCCGGCACCACACCCGCTGCCGGCACCACACCCGCTGCCGGCACCACACCCTACCCTGCCATCCCCCAAGACCCCCACCCACTCACCTGCCCCATGTCGCGTGCAGCTTGCTTGGCATTGCGCTGCACGAGCGCGGTAAACCTGGGTGTCTCCGGCATGGTCATGCGGAAATAGAAGGTGAGCGCAGCCGGCACGGCCCCCGCTGCCAGCACCACGCGCCACGCGTAGTCGGCTTGGGGCGGCACGGAGGCAATAGCGCCCTCGTCAAAGGGGGGCGCGGGGAAGGCTGCGTTGAAGAGAGCCCCGATGGCCATGGTGAACAGCGCCGCTGCTAGTATGCCCATGCCCTGCAGGGGTGCAGTGGGATGGGGTGGAATGGGGGGGAGGGAGGGTGTCTCCTGCTGTATCTGCATGGGAGAGTGTGTGTGTGTGGGGCTCCCAGTGTTGGAAGGCTGCGTTGAAAAGAGCTCGTTTGGCCATTGTGAATGGCGCCGCTGCTAGTATGCCCATGCTCTGGCGGGGGAAGGGGTGGGGTGGGGTGGGGTGGGGTGGGGTGGGGTGGGGTGTGTTGAGTTGATGGCCCATGTGTCCAACTAAGTTGGCGTGATTGAATGGTATGGGACAGGAAGAATGCGATGGCCTGCGATGGCATGTGATGTGATGTGATGCATGTGCATGGAATATGGCATGCATTATATCGTACCTGCATGGCAAAGACAGCTGCGATGAAGCCTCCTCGTGTCTTGGTGTTGGCATACCTGGCCTTGCATGCACGGATGGGATGCATGCACGGATGGGATGCATGCACGGATGGGACACATGCACCGATGATGGAATGCATATCGAATGCATGCGGAGTGGAGCGGACACAAAACGCACAAGCATCAGAGTCAATCATCTGGGCCCGGAACAGCACTTTCAGCACACAGTGGGTTAACCTGTCTCCCCTATGCACTCACGCCAAACCCAGCCAAAAGGGGAAGAAAAAGAGGGTAGAGATGACATGACAATGACTGCCCCACTGCTAGCAAACTTTTTCTATCCAAGTGGATAATCCCTTCTTTTCTCTCCCCGGCCCCCCTCGCCATCTTTGCACTCACTCGAACATGATGACAGCCGAAAGAGGGTGGTCCCCCCCAACACCAAACCCCAGGTTGTTTTGAGAATTTCTTTAAAGCACTGTTAACGTCTCTGCACTCACTCAGACATGATGACAGTCGAGTGAGGGTAGTCCCCCCTCACGCCGAACCCAAGGTGGCTTTTGGGAATTCTACAGTACCCTCTCGCCTTCCCCCTCCCCCCTCTGCACTCACTCGGACATGATAACAGCCGAGAGAGGGTAGTCCCCCCCAACACCGAAGCCCAGCCAGAAGCGGAAGAAGCAGAGAGTGGCGATGACAGCCGTGGGGGAGGAGCCAAAGGAGAGAGACTGCCCCACCGCTGCCAGCATCATGATGATGAGTGTTATGCCGTACACACGCTTGCGCCCCCACCTGTCACCCAGGCGACCAAAGAAGAGCTGCATTGGGGAGAGTGGGGAGGAGGGGGAGGGAGAGGGGAGGTGGAGGGAACGGGAGGGGGAAACGAGAAGGACTGAAGTTTACAGGGTGTTTTTTGAAGCGGGAGGGATGGATGGAAGGAGAGTGACTGCCCCACTGCTGCGAGCAACATTATGATGAGCGTTATGCCGTACACGCGCTTGCGCCCCCACCTGTCACCCAGGCGACCAAAGAAGAGCTGCAAGGAGGGCGGGAGGGGGGGAGGAGGGAGAGTGGAGTGTGGAGATGGAGGGAGGTAGGGGAAGGGAAAAAGGAGGAGGGTTAAAGTTTGCAGGGTGCTCTTGAGACACAGGACGGAATGGTGGAGGGTTGGGGAGTCAAAAACGGAGGGAGAGAGTCTGTCCCACTGCTACAAACATCAACATTATGAGAGTTTAGAGTACACCCAATTGCGCCCCCACCTGTCACCCAGGCAACCAAAGAAGAGCTGCATTTGGGAGGGAGGGGGAGGAGAAGGGGAGTGGAAGCGGGGACCGAGATTGCAATGTGTTCTGGAGAAACGACTGAGGGTTTGCTTTCGAGTCGACTCAAAAGAAGAGGCGCATTTGGGAGGGCGAGGGAGGAGAAGGGGAGCGGCCGAGGATGCGGACCGATATTTCGGCGTATTTTGAAAAAAGGACTGCGGGTTGGGAAAGGGTTGGCAGAGGGTCGGGAGAGGGTTTCGGAGGGTTGGGGGAGGGTTGGCAGAGGGTTGGGAGAGGTTGGGGAAGCGCACGAATGGGGTAGTATCCATCGATTTGATACTGAGAATGTCAAGAGTGGGAAGCAGAAGAGACATCAGCCAGGCCCAACCCGTGCCATGCACCATGGCATGACCCCTCATCCCTCTCTCTCACTGTGCAAACCAAGGGAAGGGCCCCACCAGGGCAGCGCCCGTGATGACCGACCGAGTTGACAGCAGCAGACACGCCAAGCCACGCCAGCCAATGGAATCCACGTGCCCTCATCTCATGTCCCTCCCTCACTGTGCCAACAAAGGCCCCCAGCAGAACGATGCCGTGACGACCGATTACACAGCAGCACACACGCCAAGGCACGCCAAGGCACGCCGCACGTTCAGCCAATCGAAACCACGCGCCCTCATGCTCATTCCTCACCATGGCAAACTGAGTTGACGGTAGCAGGCACGGTCAGCCACACCAAGGCACGGTCAGCCACGCCAATGCACACCAGACCAGACCAGCCTCTGCCGTGCCCTACCACAACCCGTCATGCCCGTCCCTCACCATGCCAAAGAACGCCCCCACGAGAGCGATGCCGGTGACGACGGAGTTGACCCCAGCAGGCATGCGGCCAGGCGTGGCCGTGGCAGGGTCGTAGTAGTATATGCGCCCCAGCAGAGGCGCCACTCCTGATATGCTGCGCGGAGGGGGAGGAGGCAAGGGCAGGGGGAGAGAAGGGAGGGAGAGGAAAGATGAGGGATGAGGGACCAAATTGGCAGTGGCAGGGTTGCAGTAGTAGATGCGGGCAAAGAGAGGGGCCACTCCAGATATGCTGCAGCAGGGGGGAAGATGGGAGGAGAGAAGTGAGGGGAGAGGGAGAGGGATGAGGGACTGTGTTGACAGCGGCAGGCATGTGGGCAGGTGTGTGAGTGGCAGCGTTGTAATAGTAGATGCGGCTCAGCAAGGGACCACTTCTGGACATGCTGCAGGTGGGGGAGATGGGAGCAAGGAACGAGTTCTGAGGCGCCTCTAAAGCTCGTTACGGTGGCAGATGCGGCCTAGCAGAGGGGCCACTACGGATATGCTGCAGGAGTGAGATGAAGGGGGACAGAAGGGGAGAGCATGGGTGGAAGAGGAAAGAGAAGGAGAGGGGGAGAAAAAGGCATGTCTGTGGAGGGGTAGTAGTAGTAGTAGATGCGAGAAAAGTAGTGGTTGCCTAGCAGAGGCGCCACCCCGGATATGCTGTACGGGGTGGGAAGGGAGGCGAGGGAAGAGAGGCGAGGCGGAGAGGGATGAGGGGCTGGAGTGATGACACCAGGGAAGGGGAGCAGGCAGGTGTACCACTGGAGGGGTTGTAGTGGTACATGCGACCCACGAGAGGGGCCACTCCGGATCAGCTGCGGGAGGAGGGGGAAGGGGGGGAAGAGGGGAAGGGACGAGTTTTGAAGCGCCGATAGCACTTGTAGTAATAGTAGATGCAGCCTGGGAGAAGGGCCACCTTAGATCTGCTACAGGAGGGGGAAAAGGGGGAAAAGAGAAGAGAGGGGGAGGTGGGGGAGGAGGTACTACCACCGATTTGACGGCAGAAGGGAAGCAGCCAGGTGCATCTGTAGAGGAGTTACCAGACGACATCGTGGTTACCATACAACAAGGTGGTTACCAGACAACAAGGTGGTTACCAGACAACAAGGTGGTTACCAGACAATAAGGTGGTTACCAGACAACAAGGTGGTTATCAGACAACAAGGCAGTTACCAGACAACAAGGCGGTTACCAGACAACAATGCGGTTACCAGAAAACAAGGCAATACCAGACAACAAATCGGTTACCAGACATCAAGGTGGTTACGGGGCGACGAGGCGGTTACCAGAAGAGGTCGTAGGCGTCGGTGAAGAAGCCGAGGCCAGCGATGACGATGGCAGTGAAGTGATACAGCTGCATGCGCGCCTGATCCAAACTGCGCAGCACCCCCACCGCCATGCTGCCCCTCCCTGATTATGCTGCTGATGCTGATGCTGATGGTGCCGATGGCGATGGTGATGGCACTGATGATTCGGCTGATGGTGCTGGGTGGTGCTGATGCTGTCGCCTACCGCACCGCACACCACTCTACAAAAAAAAAACCGCGGTAACAAAGTGTGAGGAAACTAACAACACACCCAGATGTACATCTGGATGACACACCCCAGACATGATTATACGGAATCTTCCCGAACAGGGCGGGACTGTCTGTGGCATGTTCAGGGCTTCTTCCGCCGCAATCTTCAGAGCATCCTCAGGGTAAGTACGTACAGTGCGCTAGGACTGTTACACCGTGTTTCGCGATTGTCAGCCTCGATACGACGATGTTGAGGAATCGCGGATATACACCCCATATTTAAACGGACTATACTGCAAAGTCGCCACTAACGAGCGTGATGCAAGGGGAGGTGGTTACGCTGTGACTCAAATGAGTGGCATGTAACGACTAGCTGAGATAAGAGTGTACCTTTAGTACACCTAGGCCTTAGGGCACTACTATCGTCACGTGTAATCCAGCGTCCATACAAACGCGGTTCGGGAAGCACGGTTAGGGTTACCACACTACTAGAAGCTGGCCCCGCGCAGTCATTGCGTCGTGTGGTAGGCTCTACTGGGGGGCTGTGTGTGTCTCGAGCCCACCTAAGGACGCGTCAACTCCTGCAGAAAAACGACGATCGAACGTGCAATATCGATCGTCAACCGCACTGAAATCCTGCTATTGCATCCGAAATGTACAAGAACCTCTTCTAACCCAGTCAAAAAACGAGCCCGCGCAGGATCGATCGCCGAATTTTGTGGGAGTTGACGCGTCCTAATCTTGCTTCGAATGTTTAGGGTTGCGAGGCACAGAGTCTCAAATGTGAGGGTGTTTCACCACACACTCCCAAATGACCAATAAACCACAAACCCAGCAAGGACTCCCCCAACTGCTAAGGCCGGAGGTGTAGCAGTGCTTACCAGGAATCCTTCAATCTCCATCCGAAAGATCTCCACTCACCCTTCAGGCAGACTGATAGCCACCGAAGTCAGCCGACCTGGCCTCACTATTACGCTCCTGGCCACTTACTTTCCTGCTGACGCTACTGACCGCAGTTCTCTCAGATCATGGTTTCGCTATAACAGTTGCTTTCAAATTGAAGGCCACAGCTCACCTGGGCCCCGGAATCTGGAGGTTGCACGCAGCAGCCATTGGCAGGCCGGGGGTTCGGAAAACGGTGGAAGCCGCTCTGGCCAAGGCAGAGGCGAGCGGCGGGGAGGACTTCGAGTTATTGCTGGGCAGACTTAACGCGGGCCTGCGGTCATACATGAAAGAGGAGAGGAAGAGGATTAGTAAGACCACGGCGCAGCTTGCGGACGTGGTGGCAGTGCTTCGGCAAGAGCAGATGCGGAACCCTAGTTGCCAGCGCACCCGGGATTTACTGCTGGTCAGAGAATCACAGCTGAAGGAATATCATGCGTCTAAGCGGGACAGACTTCACCTGATGGCGGGCACGAATACTGAGCTGGCTGGAGAAGTACCGTCCCCTTTCCTGTCGGCGCGGGTTAAGGTCAGGAAGCAGCGCACATAGATCGCAGAACTATCAGTAGGCGGGGTGTCGATGACTGACTCTAAGGATATTCTGACGGCGGCCTCAAAGTATTTCACTGACCTGTTTGGCGCGGATAGCAGTACGACGTCGACCAGGTGGAAATTGCTGCCGGGGAAGAGGCTGAGCTCGGTCGCGGTGGCGGCACTGGAGGCGGACTGGTCGGAGCAAGAGGTGAAGCAAGCTTTCAAAGCTTTGGCTAACAAGTCGCCAGGGAGAGACGGTCTTCCGAAGGAGCTCTTCGAGCAGAACTGAGATGTCCTGGGGAGAGAGTTCATGAAGTTGGCTCGTAGCTTCTCGGATACGGCCATGCTCCCTGCCAGCATTAAAGAAGCGGTTACCATTTTGCTTCATAAGAAAGGAGACAAGGAAAATCTGGATAACTACCGCCCAATTACCCTGCTCAACTTCACTTACAAGATCTTGGCGAGAGTGGTTGCGGATAGGATGAAACAGTGGCTCCACCTAGTGATATCGGACGAGCAGTACGGGTTTATACCTGGGAGGAGGATTTCTGACGCGATTGGGATGGTGGCAGACGTCGTCGAAGCAGCAAAAAAAGGTGACGAAGACTGGTGGACTTCCGCAAAGCATTTGATTCGGTGTCCCGGAGCTACCTCTTCTCGGTCTTAAGAGATATAAGTTTCCCGGAAAGGTTCGTAGGCTGGGTGGAGGGCTTGCACAAAGACACAACGACGAGGCTGTTAGTCAACGGCTGGCTGGGGAAGGCGGTGGTAGTAAGGTCAGGAGTGAGGCAGGGATGCCCGCTTGCCCCTTACTTTTTTCTTTGTGTGGTGGAGCCACTAGATCAAGAGGCGTGTAGGCGGAAACTGGGCCTCTGCAACAAAGCTGAGCAACGGTTAGTTTACCTGGGTTACGCGGATGACACGACGCTGTTTTTGGAAGGGAAGCGGCAAATCGTCAGAGCGGAGAAACTTCTGAAGCAGTTCGCTGAGATGTCAGGGCTGGCCACCAACAGAGAAAAGTCGGTTGTCATGCCGCTGGGTCATAACCTCGGGAGGAGACCTGGGACACTTGGGGGTTTCAAGTGGGCAAAGGCGGATGAAGCGGAACGCCTTCTGGGGGTCTGGATTACCCCCTCTGGCAGCAGTGAACCGACCTGGTTGAGAGCTTTCGAAAAAATAACGGTGGAGCTGATCAAGTGGAAAGCGCTCTTCCTTACAATCGCAGCAAGAGTGGTGATTATTAACTGCTACATCACGCCTAACATCACCTACCAGGCGCAAGTTTACTCACCACAGGAAGAAATTTGGAAGAAGCTGATGAAGCTGTTTCACAATTTCCTGTCCGGTAATAATGTGTCGGCGGACGGAGGCTTCGTGCTGTGGAGCTGGGATCTTCTCTCCACACCGCAAGCAGATGGGGGGCTTTGTGTACTGGATCCGGAGGTCCTTATGGCCTGCCTCGAGGCTAGGAGGATCGCTGGGCTTCTGACGGAGGGCAACGGCAAGAAAAAAGAGATAATGCTCAAGGCGACGGGGCTCCCGATGGGTGAAGATACCTTCACGGCGCATGAAAAGGTGTTAAAGCACTGACCGGGCGATGGAGAACGCTGGAAGCAGACGTGCGAAGTCTTCCTGAAATCGCCTCTTGCGGATACAGGGAAAGCTTGTAGCAAGGAGGAGGTGGCGCAGGAAAGAATTATTTTCAACAGGAACGTGTTGCTGAACGGTACAAACCCAGTGGGGGGGCAGAAGGAGGCGAAAGGGCTCTGGGATACACGTATGGGGGACCTGGTAACCACGACGCCCACGGGTGAAGCTGTGATCAAGGACATGGATGTCCTGGAGAAGGAGCTGAGGGGCAAGGACTCGGCTCGGCTGGCTCTCAAAGCTTTCGCAGCAGCCCCTGAGGAGTGGAGGTCCCTTCTGGTTCCCAACGGCATTGCTGGAGGGGAAGGGGAGGAAGAAGGGGGCACAGCGGTAGCCAGGGGGAGGAGCTGTAGTGCCTCGGCTTCAATTTTTCGGTCAGCAATTTTTTACGGGGGGAGAGCAGCTTCCTTGAAGCGGATGAGGGAGGTCTGGTCCAAACCAGATGCAATCCTTACGAAGCAGGCAAAGTGGTCTGGTCGCTGGAGTGGCAAGATCGGCTGGCAGCGAATTATTCGCACGCGCAACTCGCTGGCCATCCCGAGCCGGCCGAGAGACGTTCTCACACGGGTGCACAACCTGAATCTCCAGGTTGGGGAGCGAGTGGACTTTCTCAGCTGCAAGCCAAAATGCCCTAACTGTGGAGAGGTGGAAACGCACGAACACTGTCTTTTCTCCTGCCCGAGAATTCAGCCAGTCATCTCGGGGCTCCATCGTGCCTTGCGCATGCTCAATCCTGGGAGGACAACTGCCACGCTAGGGGACCTCTTGTTCTAGGAAACGGGTACGGCGTCGGATTTTCCGGAGGCCACCCTGACAGCAATTACATGCCATCAACAGTGGGTGGAGAGATGCGAAGCAACTTTTCGCGGGCAGAAGTTCAGAGCCCGGCGAGTTCTCAGGAGGATTGGGACGGCTTTCAGGCTTCATGGGAGGGTGTACAAGAGAATGATGGGTGCCAAAAGCCTGCAGTCAGGGCCGCTGGGGAAGGGTAAGCGGGTCAGGAGTGTTTTTGAGGCGGAGCAAAAAATGCTGGCACGGGTAAGGGAAGGTGACAAGAAATGGAAGTGGACAACACAATTTGAAGTTATCTAGAACAAGCCGAGGAGGGCTTCTTTGCCGCTCTAGATGCACTGTTGGGCTACGCATAGCGCATGCCCTTACGCTTAGTTACGACTGCTTTTGGTGTATGTATTATCCTCATCAATGCATATATCATTACAAAAAAAAAAAAAAAAAAAAAAAAAACAAACAAACAAACCCAGCAAGGATCAACATGGCAACAGCTAATAGCGGGGATGGCTACACCCCACGGGGCAAATACACAGAAACACATCTGCTCCTAGTGCAAGGTTTTGGGATCGGTTTAGTAGATTCCGCAGCAGGTGCTCAAGGGTTAATTTCGCATTCCCTCATGTGCGGGGAGTGACCGCAGGGGTAACAGGAGCATTAGTAGGTGGCGGGTTCGGGGAGATATGCTCCATTTTTTCCTCCGAAATGAAAATGAGGACGCGTCACATTTGAAAAACCGAGGAATAATCGGGGATGTTCATCGATCCTGCCAAATCGATCACCACATCGGTGTGCCACTGAATTTTTGCTATCGCGGGCCCACCGCACGTTCCAAGTGACACGATCGGAAAATCATGGGGCAAAATTTCCCGATGTGGGCGAAATTGCACGATCGATGTGTGACAAGAGCACTTCAATCGCCCGACTCCGAGGGGACAACTGTACATTGGCGATGGATGACGGAGGTAGGTAACCATCTCTTAACGACGTCATGAATGCGAAACACCGATCTTATGCAGGATCGGTGTTTCACTTGTGACGCGTCCTCCGTCCTTCACGGCGAAAGCTCCAGCCGCGCTTGTCAGAGTCCCAAAATGGGCCATATTGTGCAGTGCGGTGCAGAATAGCGATGTGGAGCCAGCGCCTAAACACGCTCGTGGTACATGTGATGCCCGTTTGAGCCCCTCCCGGTTGCCTTGTGAAAGGGGTTTGTAAGCTACACTAACATTTCTTGGGGGTTTCGTATGTTTCGTTACACTTTATACGTGCCTCAAAACTGAAATTGGTAACCACCCCTTTTGTTTGTTTCGTAACAGTAACGGTTGGCACTCCTTGTCATTAGTGTGTGTTTCTGGTTATCGTACACTTGCAAGAACAATGCACCCTGCATCCTCATCAAATGTTCAACTTAGTCCAAAACATACAATCGACTCTTACAACCAATAACAAGCACCCACGTGGCTCCCCAATTCCAATGTCAGCATGGAACGAATCACACACAAATGTGCACAAGGAGTGAAAACTCGTGCACAGCAAAGAGCCTTCGGCTCATTGCTGGGGGGTTCAAAGTTCACTCACAGACGCATCCACTCCGCCGTGTCTGTATACCCGCCCATCACAGCACCAACACCGGCGTCCAGCAGCTGCTGGCGGCGGGAAGGCTGGGTCATTCAGCCAGGCAGCACTCGGCCGCGCGAACGCGGGGTGTCGGGCGTGGGTGTTGCGCCCGGCGTAAGCGCGGCAGGCGGGGTGACGATGAGATAAATGGGCGGGCTCGCTCGCTCCATTTGCTCGATGATGATCGGGTTACGGATGTCGAAAAGGTGGCACAGGTCGCGCTGCGTGATACAGGTGGCGCGCAGCCAATGAGCATCTCGCACGCCGCCCGCGCCGTACGCCGCGCTTCACGGCCCACGGGGTCGGCATTCTCTGATATGGCCTGCATGGTGGTCGGCACCTCCCACAGTTACACGACCATGCCCGCGCCCAGCTCACTTGCCGTCAAATCTGTCGCGGACTCGGCGCACGTCGGCTGACCGTCGTCGATGGCGACGTACTCCACCGCAGTCATCGCGCCGTTCTCGAGACCGAGCCCAGAGATGAAAGTCCCGACGTCGCCTATCTCATTATCAAGTTCGATGTTGGGATAGGCGGACAGGGTGGGCTCGTCGTCGTGCACGTGCGGCAGCTCCATGGCCCAC